AACAACCACTATCAAATACGGAAGAACACCTGCTCCAAAAAGGATTAAACTACAATACAAGCGACGCCTCAAAGCTGGAGTTCTTCGCAGCACTAGAGTCATCACTCAAAACTTCCGGAATCAGTGAAGAAACACAACAGGAAATAAGGCAAACTATAGTACCGATAACTCAACAGGTGAAAGAAAACAACCAACTGACTCCACAAGAACAAAAGGCCTTGAAAGAACTCAGAAATAGAAAGGATATTGTCATAATACCAGCGGACAAAGGACGCACCACAGTAATCATGGACAAAGAAGAATACGTCAACAAAGCCGAAGAACTACTCAAAGATAAGAGCACATACAAACTGATGGACACAAATCCCGTCAAAAAATTAGACAACCAAATCTCAAAGACTTTAAACAAGCTAGTCAAAGCAGGAAAAATAACAAAACAAGACCAATGGAGAATGAAATCCAGTGGACCAGTACTCCCTCGATTCTACGGCAGGCCCAAAATACACAAACCGAACATTCCACTACGTCCAATAGTAGCACTCCCTGGAACGCCAACGTACAATTTGTCAAAAGAAATTTCACGAATACTGAGACATCTAGTAGATTCAGCCAAACACTCCATCAAATCCCCAACACAATTCTTGGACCAAATTAAGGACATTCAAATCAACAACGACGAACTCATGATATCCTTCGACGTAACAGCACTGTTCACCTCAATTGAACCACAGTTAGCAAAAGAAACTATATCCCTGCTACTCAACAACGACACAAATCTCACCAAATACACGACGCTTCAAATTCAAAGCCTACTGGAGCTCATCGATTTATGCCTAACAACATATTTTCAATTCAACAACAAAATCTACAAACAAACAAAAGGGACACCAATGGGATCGCCAATATCAGGACTGATCGCAGAAGCAGTGATGCAAAGACTAGAAGCCACGATATTACCAGTGATCAAGCCAAAAATTTGGATTCGCTACGTAGACGACACCTTCGTCATCGTCAAAAAGGATGAACTGGAAAACACATACAAATTGATCAACAACGTCTTCAATGACATCAAGTTCACAATGGAACAGGAGTCAAACAACCAACTAGCATTTTTAGATATATTGATCACTAGAACTGATACAGGAAAACTGGAAACTCAAGTATATAGGAAACCAACCCATACAGATCAAATTCTCAACTACAACAGCAACAACCCAAGGGCTCACAAAATCAACTGCGTACACACATTGTTCAAGAGGGCGGGGACACACTGCAGCACACTGGCAGCACGAAGAAATGAAGAGAAATACCTGAAGGACATATTTCAAAAGAACGGCTACCAAATCAACTTCATCAAAAAGCACCAACGGCACACAGCATCACAACCCAAGTCAAGCACAAAAATCAGTAAAAGGATCACCCTACCGTACATACAAGGAATATCAGAAACTGCAACGAGACTGCTGAAAACCTTCGGGATAGGTGTGGCACACAAACCAACAAAATCACTACAATCAATCTTATGCAAACCAAAAGATGAAATAACAAAGGAGAACAAATCAAACATTATCTACAAAATAAATTGTACCAACTGCGACAAACACTACATCGGACAAAGCGGACGTCCCCTCCACCTACGCCTACATGAACATCAATTAGCAGTCAAACGCCATGATATCTCTTCACTTATTTCAATACACGTGGATAACTACGGACACTCATTCGATTGGGAAAATGTAGAAATCTTAGACAGAGGAAACTCCAAAAACACCAGAGAATTTCTAGAAGCCTGGCACTCAGGTCAATCTGCAATCAACAAACATATTGAAATCAATCCAATTTATCAACCAATCAGGAAAATCATGCATATATATAAGAACAAAAATCAAAACAATGGGAGACACAACCAAAACAAAGAAGTGAACAATGATAAATTTAAGGTCAACAAGAACCAATCAACATCGAGGTGCACAGAACAAGCTGTGAAACACATAAGGAGAAAATCGAACACTTCACTTCTATCTGAAGTTTGTGCTGATGATGTCGTTCAGAAGAACGATGAAAGCTCCACGACCAAACCATCCAGCTCAGAGAACAAAACTCCATCAAAATGAAAAAACCCCCCTCTGATTATAAACATCATATACTCACTAGTGACAGTCTCTAAGAGGTATTTCCTAGAGTTCTAGTAAGAAGCAATGATCAGTGGAGTTCAACTGGGTCTGTTGTGAGATAGTAACTCACTGATGACAATGGTGGACGGCTCTGTTGGATGCAGGCTCAGTGATTTAGAGGTTAAGCGATCGCACGCGAGATTGATAAGTCCTGGGTTCAAATCTCGCGAGGCGGTATCATCCAATGCTTCCAGGTTTTCCATAGTGGTCCAGCTTCAATTGACTCATGAATTCAACTATTAAATTAAGTATTTTATTTATATAATAATGAAATCACTCATTTAGATCAGAAAATTGGTCGCGCAATTTCGTGGATTGGTTGATGTTAGAAACTATCACCATTGGATGCCGGCTCAGTGTCCAGTTGGTTAAGCGTTCGCGCGCGAGACCGAAGGCCCTGGGTTCGAATCCCGCTCGCGGGATCGTGGATGCGCACTGCTGAGGAGTCCCACAATAGGACGAAACGGCCGTCCAGTGCCTCCAGGTTTTCAATTGTGATGGTCTAACATTAATCGGTTCATGATCTCAATCAAAAACTTAATAATCTCCACAACCCCCATACTAGAAATTAAAATAAGTCTGAAATCAATAAAATGAATAACTACTAATGGATAAATATTAGAATGATACCCATTTTTGACTATTTATTATATTAATACTGAAATTTTCATTAAGATCGTATAATTTTGTTTATTTTTACATGAAGATGAAAGAATATTCACTGAACTTTACGTTTAACATGCTATAGGCCTTCAAATAATAATTTCCTAGTCATTTTGGTAATGTTCTGTTGAAGAGTTTCATACAAGGATGAAACGATCGTCCAGTGCTTCTAGGTTTTCGACAGTGGTAGGCTTAAATTGACTCATAAATTCAACTATCAAATATCCTATTAAACAATTCTGTATTTTCAAGTTTATTTTGTTTATTTATAGTTAATTGCAAAACTGTTGACATTCCTATGAATTTTGTAATGTTCTCTTAGCAACCTGAGATGATGGTGGCTAGTATTGAAATTCAGGAAGCGTGTTTCTTCCAATTCGGGATTTGTTGGCTGAATGTATCTGCATCTCAGATTTGATGTTCACTCAGAGACTCGAACCCAGTACAACTACTGAGTTCTAATGGCCACCAGTTTCTGCAATGCAGTGAAGTCTAATTCACTTTTGTATTGGTTGAGTGAATCTTCCCACTGATATTTAGGAGTGCAATTGATAGGTCTCTAAAAATGATGTATACTGTCTTAGTGTTTTACCTTTCAATTTTGTTATACAAATAAGTTTCAAGTAAATCAATCGACTCAACCACTGAGTTATATCAATCACTATAGTTTAAGGGATAAGATAGGATCACCATCAGGAAAACGTCAAAATTAAAGTCAAATACATAATTGTTTACTTGATAATTGAATTTCTTATTGATGAAGTGACATTCAAGCCTATAAGGTTCAAAACAATCAAGTAATCTATATTATTACCTAACAACATTCATTTCCTCTTTACAGATTGATGAAAACTTATAGATAAACCCTTGTTCATACTAAACAACAAGTGATTCAAATTATAACATAACAACTAATTATCTAAATAAATATCTGTTATTTCAACAGTTGAGATCACCATGGAAAACCAGCTTCAATTGACTCGTGATCTCAACTGTTGAACTTACAACAATCTCCACAAAACCCCTTCTGATACTAATCTGTTACTTCATTTTCTAATAATATAAATCTTTCATATAAAGTAAACAAAGTTATTATTCTCTAATTACTTAACCGGGAAAAAAATGATTATTATCAATCCATAACTAGATTAATTTTAAATGACAACAATGATTTGAAAATTCCTTATTTCTTTCATTAAATAATCAGTATAGTCAAACAAAACAATTAACAATTTATCTATTCTACTTAATAGGTTATTGTTTATCTTTATAACCTTTTGTTTTTCTAATTTCACAAATATGACATGATGTTTAAAGATGAAGATCAGTGTGTGTTTTTAGTTGAAGTTCTTGAATTCATCCGATCTAAAAATTCAACAAATCGTTCCCTTTTTTTTCTCTCTATTTCTTCAAATCTCTATTAATTATACAAATAATTCAAATCCAATTAAACTAATGACAGTACAATAAAAACGTATGTATCTGTACTAGATTACATAACTATTCGAGAACCAATTCACTTCCACATAAAAACCTTGGTTTCAAACATTTAAAATGAACAGTGTTTCCGACAAAAAAAATTCAGCATAACATATGTACTTCATTTACAAACACTTGACACAAAAGTATAAACGTCATCAAATATACTTTACTGCAATCAATTAATATTTAAACATAGAAGAAATACGCTTTAGTAATGATTCGTACACTAGCATATGGTATATTCAACATAAACGAACTAGAACCTAAACAGTCTGACTCTTATGTTTTGTGATGTATCCATAAATGTGTAACCTTATCGTCATAAAAAATGTTTAGGGGACGAATTAAAATCACTTCCTTGAAATAGAAATATGTTGTAAAGAGACAAATCTTAATAAAATATATCATTTCAATTATGAATGATAATAATGAATAGGTAAATGAAAGAAATCATAACAGAGGCAAGAAAGTAATAATAACATTAATAAAAGAAAAATAGAACTGAACAAAAAGGATGTCATGCATTTGTTGTCTTTACTGCGTATGTTTCTTTTGTTTGTGTGTTTGTCTTCAATGTTATTTACATATGATTTTGTTTATTATTTTATACATTTTCTAATAATCTTCTATTCTAATTAAGTGTGATTTACTTGAAGTATGTCACACAATGAAAGCTGTTATTTAGTAATAAATGAATTCTGAAAACAAAATCATTAGTATTATTGATGATGATGATGATGATGATGATGATGATGATGATGATGATGAAGATGATGATGATGATGATGATGATGATGATGATGATGATGATGATGATGATGATGATGATGATGATGATAACGATGACGATGATGATCCATTGAATAAATGAATAATAAAGTAATAAGTAATTACATTGCTTTTCTGTTGCAAATAACAAAAATAAACAAAAATCATTATTTGTAAGTTATAGAAAGTAAAGAAATCTGTTTAATAACATAATTGGAAAATATTTTATAACTAGATTATTTAGCAACATTATCAATTAGATAAAATATTTGATTCATATCGAACGAATAACTTTTGTTTACAGTCTAAAATTCAAGCTGGAGAAACAAAACGGATGATAAATCTTTGATTATTCATGGTTTCAATCTTAATTGACTCATGAATTCAACTAATAAAATTACCATAATCTCCATAAAAACCTCTTCTGATATTAATTAAAATATGCTCATTAGTAATTGGCTTCAAGAGGTATTTCCTGGAGTTCTAGTAAGAAGCATCATCACATAGTTTTATTCAAATAGTTTTGAAGTTAATGATGTAATTGATGTAAAAAAGTTGGTGTATAATTTTATAGATGAGAAATTATTAGTCCCTGTTCAGCTGTTAACACAACTTTTTTTTAACAAAAACACGAATATTTTTGGGAAATCAGACAACTGGTCATTGTTATAACCAGATAATTTTAACAAAAAGAACGGATTATCGCATCTTAAATAACTTGGATTAAATATTACTAAACTCTGAAGTTTATATTTAATTAACTAGTAATAATACATATGAAATATATTGTCGTAGTAAGTTCTGGTGAGAAGCAGTGACTAAGGGAGTTCAAGCTGGTCTGTTGGGAGATAATAATTCACTGAAGAAATCGGTGGATGTGTCACTCAATTTCGTGGATTAGTTGAGGTTAGATATCAACACCGTCGGATGCCGGTCGGCTCAATGGTCTAGAGGTTACGTGTTCGTGTGCAACACTGATAGGTCCTGGGTTCCAATACCGTGGGGGCGGGATCGTGGATGCGCACTGCTGAAAAAATCCATACTAGGACGAAACGGCCGTCCAGTGCTTGCAGGTTTTCCATGATTATCTAGTTTTAATTGACCCATGACCTCAACTAGTGGAATAAATACAATTTCCACAAAAACCTCTTCTGATATCACTCTTAATTAACATAGAATATAAAGCATTTTCTTATTAGGTCATTTATCTAACACTGGTATCTATTATAATAAACTTATCTTTCAGTTTCGCAATTCATTATAAAGTATATTAATACTATTTTACTGATACATCATTAAACACAAACTAATATCACATTATCAACTCAGTGTAAATCCTCACTCAGAAATTCAACATATAGATTAATAGAAAAAAAAGATTTTTTATAACTTAGTTTTCATCATAGCTCTACACCTATATATATATGTTCGTTGATGAATCTAGTGAAATATAAATTCTAGCAAAGAAGGTTACAGGCTTTATTGAACCTTTAGGACACTTTTAGTAAACCTTGAGGAAGTGTTGTTGTTTATAGTTTGCTAATTGCTACAACCTTAAAACTTTATTCTAGTTATGAGGCTTCGAAATCTAGCGCACTTTTTTAAATGTGACACAATTGTGTATCTGAGTTGAATTAAAGTACCTAGTTATGCATAGTCTCATATTCCTTATTGATTACTTTCTTAATCCCTATAGATCTGATCTATGCACTAAATTTTAGATTTTCGCTATTTCTTGTTGCAAATTAAGTTGGTCTTCTGGACAAAAGTTATGAAATCTACCATTGGAAAACTTTGAATTCTGCCTCTCTACCGACCATTACGAGCATATGATGTAATAAAGCAGAACATCAACAACGGAACCTGAGGATCATGAGAGTAAAACAACTTTTGAAAAAAGTAATTCAACTCTAACGAACATCAATCTTAAGCTAAATATAATGGTGATAATCACCTTGTTTAAGTGCTTTTGAAGCATAATGTGTTCAAATCACAGTATGGTAAGTAATTCTTTAACCCATTTCAGTCAAGTGTTTAGTTTAAGTGTGTTGTAAAAGAATTTTCTTAGCTTCAACTTGCGGAATTTCAATAAATTACCGCTCATAGAATTTGTAAACTTCGGATTCACTTGTCATGCGAAATTAAAGCCATGATGATTAATTATGACTAGTTGACAATGTATTCTGGCATCATAACCATTTACATTTCTAGTAAACTAATATTTAATGGATTTTAGCTGATAGTCCTTGTTTATCCATTTAGAAGACGTCTACAGAACTTTTGTTAAGTGAAGGATACATAAAAACCGATCTTAAACCGTATTTTTACCACTTGTATTTTATCTTCTATACTATATTTGTATTTAAACTTTATCAAACAGTTTACTCTCCAGTATTGAGTAATTTCATGGTTTTTCAAAATCGTCTTTCAACAAGTCTAATTTTTATTGTTCAATGTTTGTTTCATTATGTTAACGCTAATACTAATACCAATGATACTTGACTTTTTACTACACTATTTCGGCTTTTACCATTAGATCGTATTGTTTTCCATTTGAAATCGATTAGGTTTGTTCACTATCATATATTGATTGAAAATAAATGTTAACACTGTTCCTTACTCAATCGTCTAGAGGTTGAGCACTCTTGTTATAATTTTATGTCCGGCTTTTTATCACGTGATTTATCCACCAATCAAAATACGACTTATACAAGCTTAGCACTATGCCAAACCAATAACGTTCAACCGGTATGAGCAGTCTAGCGTCCTTATTGGTCCTATGTCCTCCTAGCCCGTCCGCTTGAGTTCAGAACACATTACCAGCTTCTGTAATATGAATCGAATCATTTATTTCAAACATACTCGGTTTATATATCAACCAGACAGACCTCAACGTACCATAAAATGGAAAATAACATTTGTACACAATAAAGCCAAAAGGTGGCTGTGAATGAGGGAGATAGTAATTAATAGACAGGCCATAACTCAAGAATGATAAATCGTATAGTAATAGTCTATGGGTTAAATTAAAGCTTATAATAAGAAGAATATAAATACACATGATCTAATTATTGAATAATTATACAATAAGAATATTTATAGAATATTAGTCCATTAATAGTCCTCGGAAGTTACCCGTAATTTAATCTTCGCTCGAATATAACAATTCTTATGAAAGGTCTCGGGTTAGATTCCTTGTGACAAGGTTGTGAATGACCATAATCACGTACTAGGACAAAACGGCCATCCAGTGACTTCATGTTTTTGATAGTGATCTGAGATCAATTCGTGATTTGCATTATGAATATATATGTATAAAGTATAAATCGATCCTGTTATTCAATAAAATAAAATCTTTCATTTCTTTAGGGGACTAAGAATACATTGATTAAAGTTAAATATTGTAACGCATTAACTATTTAATAATTAATAATCGGCGCGAATTCACGTCAAAACGAAAAATGAAGATGCAAACAACATAATATTCTAAACATTTGAATAAATTTTGTCATACATTATGCATATTACTTATTACGTTTTTAAAAATGCTGATATCTCTATTAATATCTATTAAATATTTTTAATTATTATTATTATTATTATTAACCATATAATTATTCGTCGCGATATAAACATATTAATTATTAATTGTACTAGAGAAATTCTAACCAAAAAATATATTACTCAAACCAATATTTTAAGTACTATATAAATTATTTATTTTATTTCAAGGATTCAATATTACTGTAAGATGACTTTTCTGCAGCGAGAACAACAACAAAAACATTTATTACATCAATTTGTCATCAAATAAATGATAATTTTATTTAGATTTTATGGTTTATGGCCAGTGATATTCATTATGTCAAGTTTTGTTTTTAGTCATTTAGTGTTTTTGTTTAACAACTATTCAGTGGATTTTATTCATATTAACTAAATTCTAAAGTCAACTAAGATTAAATTTCAAAAGTTGAGTTGGCAAGTCAACCTAAGCACAGTTGACAAGTTCCATACTAGGACGAAACCTTCATTCAGTACTTTAAAGTTTACTATGATGGTGGTCTAGCTTAGATCGATCCATGAATTCATTTGTTAAAATTACGATAATCTTCACAAATACCCATGCTAAAATGAAATTATTTACCAGTTTTTTGTTGATATTTAATTTGTAATTAATTCATCACTTGAAATCAGGCTATGAATAAATCCAATGAAAATAAATAGGTATCAGAAGGGGTTTTGTGGAGATTGTAGTAATTTTAATAGTTGAGATCATGAGTCAATTAAAACTAGACAATCATGAAAAACTTGCAAGCACTAAACGGCCATTTCGTCCTAGTATCGAACTTTTCAGCAGTGCGCATCCACGACCCCGCCTCGCCAGATTCGAACTCAGGACTTATCAGTGTTGCACGCGGACATTTAACCTCTAGACCATTGAACCAACATTCAACGGTGTTTAACTATGTCTAACTTCAGCTAGTCCACGAAATTGAGCGACACACTCACCATTGTCATCAGTGAGTTACTATCTCCCAACAGACCAGCTTGAACTCCCTTAGTCACTGCTTCTCACCAGAACTTACTACGACAATATATTTCATATGTATTATTACTAGTTAATTAAATATAAACTTCAGAGTTTAGTAATATTTAATCCAAGTTATTTAAGATGCGATAATCCGTTCTTTTTGTTAAAATTATCTGGTTATAACAATGACCAGTTGTCTGATTTCCCAAAAATATTCGTGTTTTTGTTAAAAAAAAGTTGTGTTAACAGCTGAACAGGGACTAATAATTTCTCATCTATAAAACTATACACCAACTTTTTTACATCAATTACACCATTAACTTCAAAACTATTTAAATAAAGCTGATGATATACTTGTGTTATTGTTTTAAGAATTTTTTGTTAAATATTAGTAAACAAAAGAAATTCATTAGCATTTCTGTTTACTTAGTTTGTGGAGTTTCAGTTTCTTTTTTTTTAATATAACATAACTATCATATATAAGATCATATTAACTTTATTCACAAACCGATCAACATTGGTTAGTAATAAATATTACAAGATTAAATTAACTGCACTTTTAAGCTCGATTTGTGGATTTGATCAACTACTTTCCAAATTAACATTCTAAAACGAACTATCATAGTATCAAGGCTGA